CCACTGCACTCCAGTCTGGGCGACAGAGTGAGACTCCAACTCAAAAAAAAGAAAATATAAGCTTTTAAGTTGAGGTGGGCATGCTGGCTCACACCTGTAATCCCAGCACTTTGGAAGGCAAAGGTGAGAAGATTGCCTGAGAAGGCTGATGGGGAAGGATCGTTTGAAGCCTGCAGGCAGAGGTGGCAGCCTGGGCAACAGAGTGAGATTCTAACTCTAAACAAATGATAGATAGATAGATAGATACATAGATAGATAGATAGATAGATAGATGGACAAACAAATAATTGAAGGGCACTATGAGCAGGACAAGAGTGAACATCTGCTCTCTGCTTGGAATTTTTACTATTAATGAAAGGCTCTTTCCACTATCCCAGAGAAGTAGTGAATTCAGTGGAAAAAGCATGGGCTTTGGAGTCAGGGAGACCAGGACATAAATCCTAAACTTATCAAATACTTGTATGATGCCGAGAAAATTATACAATCTGTTTAAAACTCATTTATCTATAATGAGTTGGAGTCTCACTCCAACTCATTTATCATCATGTCTCTCATGAGACTGTTGTGAAGACCAATGAGAATACTTGTAAAGAACCTATCATGAGCCAGGCTCTGTGGCTCAGCCTGTAATCCCGTGTCTTTGGGAGGCTGAGGTGAGTGGACTGCCTGAGCCCATGGGTTCGAGACCCCCTGGGCAGGCGAGACCTCATCTCTACAATAAATCAAAAAATTAGCCGGGCGTGGTAGTGTGTGCCTGTGATTCCGGCTACTAGGAAGGCTAAGGCGGAAGGATCGCCGGAGCCCAGCAGGTTGAGGCTGCGGTGGGCGGGAGCGGCCATTGCACTCCAGTCTGGGCGACAGAGTGAGACTCTAACTCAAAAAAAAAAAAAAAAAAAGAACCTATCATGAATACTGTAGCTATTATTATTATAAAATGCTACTCAGCAGTGAAAATTGATAGTAAGGTAATTCTAAAAGCACACAGGTAAATCAGAAACCACTTAAATTGCACAGAAGCTTTTCCAACAGACCTGACAAAAGGGTGAATTTTTTCATTTAGGTGAACTTTCTTTTTAACGTCCTGACCACCCTGAAAAACAAACCATCAAAATAGAACTTCATGTTTACCATTTAACATAAATGAAGGTCACATGTGGCATAAACATTTCGATGACAGCACATATGATGATGGTCCTACAAGATTATGAATTGTATTTTTTATTATACCGTTTCTATGTTTAGGTACATTTAGTTACATACCATTGTGTTATAGCCTATAGTATTCAGTACAGTAATATGCTGTACTATGTTAGATGTGTAGTAGACTATACCATCTATGTTTGTTATGTATACTCTATGATGTTTGCAAAACACATTTCTTCGGATGTATCTCTGTCATTAAGCAATGCATGGCTATAATTAAAAAAAAAATTTTGGCTGGCATGGTGGCTCAGGCCTGTAATTCCAGCACTTTGCGAGGTGGAGACGAGAGGACTGCCTGAGCCCAGGGGTTCAAGACTAGCCTGGAAAACTTGGTGAGACTTCGTCTCTACAATAAATCAAGAAAAATTAGCTGGGCGTGGTGGTGCATGCCTGTAGTTCCAGCTACTTGGAAGGCTGAGGTGGAAGGATCACCTGAGCCCAGCAAGTTGAGGCCAAGGTGGTCATGAGCATGCTACTGCACTCCAGCCTGGGTGACAGACTGAGACTCAAACTAAGAAAACAAAAACCAAAAACAAAACAAAAACCAAAAAACCCCACCACTGTGCCCAGCCTATAATGCTATTAAAGATAGTTTAGGCTGGGTTTGGTGCCTCAGCCTGTCATCCCAGCACTTTGGGAGGTTGAGGCGAGTGGACTGCCTGAGCCTGCGGGTTCGAGACCAGCCCGGGCAACGTGGCGAGACCTCATCTCTATAATAAAATTAAAAAATAGCTGGGTGTGGTAGCGCGCCTGTAGTTCTGGCTATTTGGAAGGCTGAGGTGGAAGTATCGCTGGAGCCGAGAAGGTCGATGCTGGGGTGCCCGTGAGCGTGCGTGCCACTGCACCCCAGCCTGGGTGAAGGAGTGGAAAAAAAAAAAAAGATAGTTTAATTTTCTTTGATACTAAACATAGTAGGCATGTAATATCTAGAAAATAAAGCTATGTAAATTATAATTAAGAGAACCTTACCTTTACAAGACTCAAATACTCAACTATTCCAGAACGTACTGCAGAGGACAATTTTCTAACTGATTCATCACAGACCCAACAATGAACGCCTCTCCTTCCAGAATACACCCAGAGACGATGCTTAAATCCAAAGTCCTCTGAAGAGGGGAGAAATAATAGCTTTTGAAACAAACTTAGAAACTACTGCTTCTTGCTTACCTCATTAATTTCATCTTCTACTTACTATCCACATATACACCCACCTTAACTATACTATATTACTAGTAGTTTCCTGTGCTCCTTATGTTCTTGCCTCCAACTCTTGACCCATCCTACTAGCTTCTCTGCCAAGAATTTCTTTATGTCCCAGCACTTCTATCCGTCCCTGACCAATTGTCATTTATTCCTGAAGGCTTAATCTAGGAATATAACGAGTTAACATATATATAGTGTTTAGAACAGTGCCTGGCACATAATAAGCCCTCTATATAAAGAGTTAGCTGTCATCATTATAATCATCACCACCTCTTCTGGGAAGCCTTTTCTCACCGAATCTCTTCTTTTTCCTGTATATACTCCTGCTGTTCTATACCCCTATAACGCCCTGTGCATATCACATAACACAAATATAATCCTCAATTTTCTTTTTTTTCTTTCTTTCTTTTTTTGAGTTGGAGTCTCACTCTGTCACCCAGACTGGAGTGCAGTGGCCGCTCCCGGCCACCACAGCCTCAACCTGCTGGGCTCCGGCGATCCTTCCGCCTCAGCCTTCCAAGTAGCTGGAACTACAGGCGCGCGCTACCGCGCCCGGCTATTTTTGATTTATTGTAAAGATGAGGTCTTGCCAAGTTGCCCAGGCGGGTCTCGAACCCATGGGCTCAGGCAATCCACTCACCTCAGCCTCCCAAAGGCGTGGGATTACAGGATGAGCCACCGAACCCGGCCTCAATTTTCTTCCTGGTCTCCTTTTTAGACTACATAACCCATTTGAGGTAAGCATTATTATCCTTTATACTACTCTCATTTAGAACAATAGGTACTTAGCATATACAACTGCTCAACTGGTAACTGAACTGGAAAAAAAAAGACACTGGTTTGTTCAATAGTTGTTTTAAAATTTCCACTATAATTTTATTCTTCTTTTCATATGTGTTAAGGAAACATATTAGAAATGTATGAGATTTGATTATAAAATGAAGAGACTAATATTCAGAGGGAAACAGATTCTTGCATTTGACCCCACTCAGTCACTGCTGATACTTGCCCTTCAATGCTCTGTCGATGATGTGTATGGCCATTGTCATGAGGGTCCAGCACTTAGAACATATGTCTGCAGAACTGGAGCAGAGTAATCATTACTCACTGTCAGTGATACCACCCACATCAACAGCAAGGCACACAGCTCTTACCTACAACATCTCCTCACATCGTCATAGTCTGTCATGTCAATGTCAAACACCATTTCTTTTTCCTGAGCCTGGAAAGCTCCTAGCTTCACTGCATTGTGTTGATTGGGCTACAAATACAGAATATCAGTCAGTCTCTGTAAGAACTTCCATGTTGTTAAATCTGCTTATTTTCTACCCAAATGGAAAAAGTAGCCAAAGAGAAATAAAGGAACTATATAAAGCCAAGTATAAGTTAGTTAAATTACTCTGGATTTCATACATAAAGATTGATGACAGACGTAACTTACACCTAAAGCAGGATTTGATAAATACATACCTGCCATAAATATTTGTTGGTCAATAAAAATTATAATAAGCTGGGCTCGGTGGCTCAGCCTGTAATCCCGTGCCTTTGGGAGGCTGAGGTGAGTGGATTGCCTGAGCCTGTGGGTTTGAGACCCGCCTGGGCAACTTACCAGACCTCATCTCTACAATAAATCAAAAAATCAGCTGGGTGTGGTAGCGCATGCCTGTAATTCCGGCCACTTGGAAGGCTGAGGCGGAAGGATTGCTGGAGCCCAGCAGGTCGAGGCTGTGGTGGCCGGGAGTGGCCACTGCACTCCAGTCTGGGCGACAGAGTGAGACTCCAACTCAAAAACATATATATATAATAAAGCTGCTTTTAGGTTTCTGATAAGGGAAAGTAAATACAAATAATGTTCTATGGCAAGGTGTTTTAAGGACCTGTACTTTAACTGTACATGTAAGTAATAAATATGCTTTTTTGTTTTTTTTTTTAGTTGGAGTCTCACTTTGTCACCCAGGCTGGAGTACAGTGGCACGCTCATGGCCATCTCAGTGTCAACCTGCTAGGCTCAGGCAATCCTTTCGCCTCAGCCTTCCAAGTAGCTGGAACTACAGGTGCGTGCTACCACACCTGGCTAGTTATTTTTGATTTATTGTAGAGATGAGGTCTCACCAAGTTGCCCAGGCTGTTTTCAAACCTGTGGACTGAGGAAATTCTCTCATCTTGGCCTCCCAAAGTGCTGTGATTATAGGTTTGAGCTGCTGTACTGGGCCACAAATATGCATTTTTAATAATTCAAAAAGATCTCCCCAATTAGTTTAAACTGAGACTTTATTATACAGAGGCTATGGTCTACCAGGTAAAGAAGGTGGACTAAATATACATACTGGCTGGGCATGGTGATACACACCTATAGTTCCTATTCAGGAGGCTGAGGAAGAAGCATCACTCAAGCCCAGGAATTTAAGGGTGTCGTATGCTATAATCACCCCTGTGAACAGCCACGGCACTCCAGCCTGGGTAAAAGAGTGAGGCCCCAACTAGGATGGATGGATGGACGGATAGCTGATTAGAAGCTCTGTACACATGGCTGAGATTTCTTTACTGTAGCGTGATCTGGCTGGGCCATCTTATTAGAAAATCTCTGAAGTCATTTTCTCTAGATCTTTGCCGAATGGAAACTCTCCTAGCACAGAGATCTTTGTTTTAACCACTGATCTATCCCTGGCACATCTGGTCAGATTCTGCAGAGAGGAATCTTCCAGTCTCCTTCTTGGGTTGGCAGTGGAAGGATACAGAAGTTGGGGAAAGGGTTAGATAGTAACATTCCATGTATAAATGTCTAATTAGTCCCCTTATTAATCGGTACAATATACTGTACTTCAACTGTGTTTGTTGTCCCCCAACTCTAAAGACCCTCTGTTCTATGCTTTCTAGAAAATAATTCAGGCAGATCCAGCGCAGTGGCTCATGCCTGTAATCTCAGCACTTTGAGAAGCCAAGGCCAGAGGATTGCCTGAGTTTAGGAGTTTGAGACCACCCTAGGCAACATGACAAGACTGTGTCTCTACAATAAATCACATTGGCTCACCCTGTAATTCCAGAACTTTGGGAGGTAGAGGTGAGAGGACTGCCTGAGCCCAGAGGTTCGAGACCAGCCTGGGTAACCTGGCAAGACCTCATCTCTACAATAAATCAAAAAATTAGCTAAGCGTGGTAGCACACACCTGCATTTTCAGCTACTTGGAAGGCTGAGGCAGAAGGATTGCCTGCGTCTAGCAGGTCAAGACTGCGGTAGCTGTGAACGTGCCACTGCATTCCAACCTGGGGGACAGAGGAGACTTCAACTCAAAAAAAAAAAAAAAAAAATGGAGGCAAAGAAATTAGTATTAGATGATTAATCTGAAAGGCCTACCATCTGATTTTGGGATTTCTAAAAACACTAGAGCAAATAGGTAGAAAAAAATTGTGTTAAAAAAAGAAAAATTTTCCAGAATTAAAGGACGTGAGTTCACTATTGTAAGGCCCGTCAAGTATCTAGCACAAGAGATGAAAAAAAGATGTACACCAAGGTACATCACTGTGAGTTTTAGAACAGTGGGGACAGATAGAAAAATTCTAAGAGCTTCCAGGTCTAACACATTAGAACAAGAATCAGAATGTCTTTAGTCATCTTCTTTTTGTTTCGTTTTTGAGTCAGAGTCTCACTGTCGCCCAGGCTGGAGTGCAGTGGCACGATCACAGCCCAGATCTGCCAAGCACAAATGATCCTTTCACCTCAGTCTCCCAAGAATCTGGGACTACAGGAACATGCCACCATGCCCAGGTAATTTTTTAAATTTTTTGTAGCAACGAGGTCTTGCTATGTTGCCTAGGCTGACTCCAAACTTCCAGGATCAAGCAATCCTTTTACTTCGATCTCTCAAAGTGCTGGTATTACAGGTGTGAGCCACTGTACCCAGCAGAATGGCCTTAGTCTTCTAAACAGCAATACTGGAAACTAGAAGATAATATAGCAGTGCCTTCAAAATTTTAATGGAAAATGATCTCCAAACCTAACCATTAGTCAAGTGTAAAAGTAGAATAAAAACATTTTCCAGAAACAAAGGTGTCAAAAATTTTGTCTCCATGAACCATTTCTCAGAAAGCACCTAAAGGATGAGATTCATCAAAACAAGGAAGTAAACCAAGAGGAAGGCATAGGATTTGGGCAAGAAGTGTTACAGCATTAGGAGAGAGGCAACAGTAACTAGGGTGATTACAAGATCATATTTATCTTCCAGGCTTAGAGAGCAATCAATCCAGACTGGAGGTTGTAAAGCTAAAGGAGAAATTTCTTCAAGATGAAATCAATACGCCAGATGCGGTGGCTCACGCCTGTAATCTCACCACTTTGGGAGGTGGAGGCAAGACGATTTGCCTGAGCCCAGGGTTTCGAGATCAGCCTGGGCAACTTGGTGAGACTTCGTCAATACAACAAATAAAAAAATTAGTCGGGCATGTAGTTCCAGTTACTTGGAAGGCTGAGGCAGAAGGATCACCTGAGCCCAGAAGGTCAAGGTTGAGGTGGCTGTGAGCATGCCACCGCACTCCAGCCTGGGCAAGAGTGAGACTCCAACTTAAAGAAAAAAAAAAAAAGGCCAGGCTTGGTGGCTAAGCCTGTAATCCCAGCACTTTGGGAGGCTGAGGTGAGTGGATTGCCTGAGCCCGTGAGTTCAAAACCCGCCTGGGCAACCTGGCGAGACCTCATCTCTACCATAAATCAAAATGAGCTGGGTGTGGTAGCGCGGGCCTGTAGTTCCAGCTACTTGGAAGGCTGAGATGGAAGGATCGCCGGAGCCCAGCAGGTCGAGGATGTGGTGGCCAGGAGCAGCCACTGCACTCCAGTCTGGGCGACAGAGTGAGA